TCCTCCCAGACACTGAGGTGGTGGACGCCATACAGGACAAGTACATTCGTCTTTCGACTGAGCATTCACTCCAACTAGTACAGTACTGTTCGCTGAGACAACCACTCCATTCTGCAAAAAGAAACAATAGCATTAAAAAACCTGTAATATAGGGGATCCTCCCAAAACCAGAGGTTAACTCGATAGAAACTCTTTCCTGTGACTTACGAACTTCATAATACGACCCCCCCCAAAATTCCCTCCTCTGCTACGACTCAGTTCTCCATACGTCCTGACTTTTCTCACTTCCAAAGTTTCTACCATTTTCTCCCACGTTTTCCAGAAATTTTCTAGTTTTCCACAAAGGCTGCCGTCTCGCCGAGCGGAAGTGTGGTGGGGCGAGGGGAGCGGGGAGGTGGTTAGCCACCTAACTACTACTTATTTCACCTAACTAAAAGCTGCATAAAACTTTGACTGCGCCACCAAGTAGGAACGGCGGGCGGGCTACTACAAACGATTCAGACAAGGGCGCTCATAACCTGGACAGCATTTAGAGGACTCCTTGTGCAAAACTGGAATTACCGTCGGCCAAATGCAACTACCGTACTTTAAAATGGCTCACCCATCCCGGAGACATTCATCATTTAGACCGCAGGCGTCCTCAGTTCCATTACAGTGGTTCTATTTTTGCGCAATGAAACCCTTAAACGCCCTTCCCCTGGGGCTATCAGGGCCCAGATAATTCGTCGAAAATTGAAGAGGGGGCCAAATTCAATGAAAAACTTACGAAATCTGCCGTGCTGATCGTTTGACATCCCGAATCGCATACGGTAAATTTGCACATGTCTATGCCCACTCCGACGATGGTGGTACCCATTTTCGATTGCAGTTCATCTCGATTCGCCGAAATCAAACCGTTCAGCTGGGTTCGAGTCTCTGAAAAGGCTCCATAAATTGAAATATGAAAATCGATCACGTCAAGGATTTGTTGAGAGCGAAAATACCAACTTGTATGGAGAGCCATGAGCAGAAAAACGAATGTTCAACACAGGGACGGTACGTGTTTGCAAGTTGCATAGTCCAACTGAAATCACAGTTTGAAAGTTATTCAGAAAACTAGTAATGATTCCCATTGGAACCATGTTGTATACATAAGATAACACAACGCTGGAAAAAAAACAAAAAAAAAAACAAGGCGGGGGGGGAAAAAAGACAATCAGGCAAACGTTGCCACCCATGTATTTTATCATTTGTTGCGTGAATACGTCCTGGATACTCTTGCCACTGGCATTCACTCGAATGAAATCTTCAGGCGTTTGCAAACTGGAGTCTTCGCCAAGTAGTAACTGCATCGATCCCTGAAAAGTACAATTTCACTCTTGCGACAAACTCACTTCGTTTGCCCTCTGCTTTTTATATGCCAGTCTTCTACTATGATAACTGCTGATTATCGCTGCAGTTCGCGATCCAAAGGATAATTGAGCTATGGGCAAATGACTCTAATTCTCGCCAGGACTTGGACCTGGACCTCGCGTCCCAAAGTGTGATGAGCTGCTTTTTTTCTATTTCTACAAAAAAAAATGAAATTTGTGGAACCAAAGGTCGACATGGACCTGTGGCAGGAGTAGGAGCGACTTCACGTGACAAATAGCGAGACCAGATGAGATGAGCCGGCGAAGGGCGCGAGGAACTTCACCATCACAATACTCTACGCTACATTACAGGCAAAGACTGAGCGAGAGCATGCGAGTCCTGGCGACGCAGGGCGATAGCGGGCGACATTGAGCGACACGACACGCTTGAGACTCTACGTAATACAGACATACGATCAAATATAGCAGATTTACAAGCAACATAAAGCTGCGTATGGATGACATCAGACGGCTCGGAGCTGTTGACAGAGATGGGGAGATTGCTGTGACACTGTCACAACAGCGCCCAATTAAGAAGTACAAGGAACTCATAAGGGGTCTGAGTGAGTAAGAGGCCTCCCTAGGTAGGTCCTGCGGTGATTGCGAAAGCAAGCGACCTTACAGATCAACAGACAATTCAACGCAGCCGGAGAAAAATTAAAATTACTAACTTATGTGAATCAGTGGTTCAATTATGAATGTAAACAATTAGTCACCTGGTTCACAAACGCAACTTCCGGTACCAGAAGCACGTTCACAGTCACGTATCCGACAGCGTTCTCATTCCGGCGATTATCGTGCACATTTGATGACATGTGATAGGTACCAGGTGGCATATTGGCATCCATTGTAATCTATAAACACAGTGCATTGTGGCAAAAAGGTGTGAACTACGACCAAGTCTCATACCACAATTCACTTACCTCTCCTTTTGGTGACAACTCGAAACCGGGCAGCGATTCTTTCCATGTGAACGTCTTATCGCCCAAATCCCAATCATCCAGATCTTCCACGTAGACTCGACCAATTTGGGTCTTTTTCAGTTTGCCAAGATATGAGTTCACAGTGATCGTCATCTTTCCATCATGCATCGGATTGTCGTTCTAAAAAGCGTCTCCTAAGTGGAAAGCATAAGATACTGTACGTAAGGCGATAGCTATGCACAAC